ATTGTTGTTTTGAAAAAAATTTAAACGTTTTTCAGTTTGTCCATGTCCATCTGTGTCCAAGGAGAAATTTAAAAACACTGTCCATGTCATTGGACGCCATGCACATGTCCATCTAATGCAGGGCTCTATATATAAGGCAATTTATTAGACTAGCGAAAATGAGATCTATTTCGATAACGGAACAGAGAGCTGAATTTCCTGTGTACATCCGCTGAATTTACTACCTGACTCTCTATTCATGCTGATTTTTACTTTTCAGATAGACATTACAAAAGTATCGTCTGCTCGACGAACACATTAGAATTTGATTGCACTATGTTCTCGAATTGACTCAATCAGTCAAGATATGGAGCTCTTTTCCCTAGTCAAACGCCTTTTTACCTATCTGTGATGACTGGCTCAACTAGTCAAAATATTCTGACTAGCTCATTTTGTGGAGAATTTCAAGGTCTATCTGTTCATGTGTTTCATTAATGTCTTCGAGTGTAATGAAAGTTGAGAAAAATAGTGTTTACTTATTATGGAGGGGTGGTTTTGCGGTTGCCGATGGTATTGTCAAGAAATCAACGGGATTTTAGTGAACAAAGGTATCTGATTTCATCTGGAATTAAATTCTGGTGCGTGTTTCCTTGATGCGAAGCCATTTTCACTCGAAAAAGAGAGTGGGCTGATTTCTAACCTTATACGTTTCCGTTCTTTGAAAGGAATGAGAAAACTCTTTATGAGATATATTCGTTTTACGGTACAATAACTAACGAACAAGGAAACATTTTCTATTATTTAATCGGCTATGCCACCTATGATTCGGTAAACAAAATTACTTTATCACCAAAATCACGTTTACCAGATTTTAAGGTTTAAAAATATGTTTGGTGTAATTACAGACAAAACTATATCAAATCCGTGAATATAAGACTTACATGTAAGGGAGCCGATTTTGGCTCTTATTATCTCCCGTCGTTTCATGAGACACTTGTGTATATATCGAGTCGCAGCTGCAACAATAAGAAGAGCATAGAATAAAAGTTGTGCGGGAAATAAACTCTCCAATTCTTCCACCTTAACATTATCAGCGACATTACTGATGAATACAGACATTTGTTCTCTAAAGCAGAATTAATCATATAAATACAAAAGAACATCATCCAGTACTTTGTTCATGATCAACCTAAAAGTGATACAATCATCTTCATTATTGAAGCCGTTCGCTTCAATTTGTGCATAATATCTTTTACTTGTTGATTGAGATAAATGGCGGAGATAGAAAATCTGAATCATGTTAAACGAGAAAATAAAATACAGTGCACGTCAAAAGTCTCGTGGCACTTTTGATTTTTAATTCTCGTCTTAAAAGCAAGGATAATTTAATATGATTATATACTTGCATTCTGCTATGCAGACTATGAGATTTTTGATGCGTACTGTAATGAAAGAAGTGATTTGAGTAAATCAAAGTGGTGATTTGATAATCAAATTCAACTATTGGTTAATGATAAAGAGAGTCATTCGTAACTGCATGACTCGGCCCATATTCGTTCAAAAACACAAAGAACATATCAGTGATAGTCTAGACTTCCAGTATAGAACGCTGCACGATAAAAGGATAGGGATGCACGTACGATCGACATTGAAACGGATTCGGCAAAGACAGTACTTCTAGAAGTCATTGCATGAGAGAAACGACAAGTCACGCTCAATCGATGTCTCAGATTTGCTCCTAACTAGCCCTATCTTACTCAGCATGTGTGAAAGCCTATAAATCCAAATTTTGAGTCTTCTAAGACTTTTACTTTCTGAGTTCTGGACTGTTTTCCAGAGTGTTTTCCTCGATGGAAAATTCACCGTCTAAAAAATGGAGAGCAAAATAAAGATTCTGTTTCTCTGCCAAGACAAGTGATGGAAAAGGGATTTTTTCGTCCTATGTAGTCCATTGCACGGTCTATCCGATAATGCGATCAGATCGTTTTTACCTCGGATCTTCAGCCTGACACCGAAACTCTTCTGAGGATCTTAGAGGTTTATATTGTTTGACGCCGTTCTCTAGCGTATGGCTTAAGTTTAAAACGAGATGCAAATCTCGCTTCATAGACATTCAAGTGTGGACTGTCCGAATCCAGTCTCAAAAGTTCGGTGTCTTGTAAGGAACTCTAAAAAACCTTTGGAGGTTTTTAGAAACCCGTAAGTTTACCAAAACAGTTTTAAATTACATATTTGGAAAGAGCGCAAAAATTGTGAAAAAAATGAGGTGTCACTCACGGTTTTCAGTTTTTCTAAGCCACAAATTCGACAACCTAACAATTACGTTTTTATAGTAAACCATTTTTGCTTGAACACCTGTTATTTTCTCACCTTTTCAAAGTAATTGCTAAAATTATGAGCAATACCTCATTCTAGAAAACAGTCCAGCACTCAGAAAGTAAAAGTCCTAGAAGACTCAAAATTTGGATTTATAGGCTTGCACACATGCTGAGTATGATAGGACTAGTTAGGAGCAAATCTGAGACATCGATTGAGCGTGACTTGTTGTTTTTCTCATGCAGTGGCTTCTACGAAGAAAAAGCTTTTAGCTTAAATAATAATTCAAACTTCCAGATGACTGACCAGAAAGTGACTCGAGTCAGTTGATTGAGTCTTTCGCCACGAGCCCGAGTCACAGAAAAATGCGAGTCGAATCAACTCGGACTCGTCCATCTCTGCTTTCGATATTTCGCCAATAAGTCTATTCTAATTTAAGGTTTAATACAACGTAGTATAGATGTCCTAGAGATCACCTACCAAAAAAAATACCTGAATAACTTTTAGAAAGTAAACTGCATATTTAGATTGAGCTGCAAAACAGAAGTTCAAATAGTAAACTATAGAGCGAAGAGAGTGTGAGAGAACATTTGAAACAAATACGAAAGAACAATTGGGTTTTCGTTCTTTTTCTTCACAGTTTTAAAATAATGTATTAGAGCGCAGTTAAATACATTATTCTCAACGACATAAAGAAAGGAGAGAGAGGAGAGTGTATTTTCTTTTTGTCTTTTAAACATTCTGGGAATGAAGAACAAAAACGTTTGAAAAAGTCATGGTATCTTTTATTATTTTAGACTAGTGTTTCTACTTCTTTACGTAAATATAAGACTTTTTCTCTCGTTCTATCACCTTCAGAGATAGCAGAAACACTGAAAAATTAGAATATAGGTTTTTCAATTTTAAAACTCCTATAACTCGAAAAGACAAGATGGTAAAACGAAAGAAAAATATGTGCACCTGGGGAATATTATCTAGTATTTATGGTAGAATTTCGAAATCGATCGGATCTAGTTATCGGGAATCGTAACAGAATGATATGAAAAACCAAGTTTTCGTTAGAAAACACGGCAACCCAGATAACTAGAAACTTGCTGAGTTTTCAATTAGACCTGAAAAGGAGAAGGTTTAATCATTTCTAGTTTATGCTTGACAATTTTTCTACGAAAAGCCCCAAAAAATGAGAAGAGTACCCTTAAACAGAAAAGTTTCCACGGAATTTTGATTTTATAGATCTATCTCAGAATAGAATGATCTTGGCCATTTTGGTGAAAACCTTTGAACAAAAAGAGACGATACAGTTGACACCGTTTGCATCTCTAACTTTCCTTCACTCTGCGGTCGCAATTTTTTCTCCCAACTTTTAAGATTAGATAGTTGTAAAAGTTGGTAGAAAGAATTTGGTCATCACGGACAAAGGAAGAGTCATCGTTCAAGAGTAGCGTGATATTTGGAATCCGCGTAAAATTCTCTTCCTAGTCCATGTCTTTCTGTTTTCCGAAAAAGTTTGCAAACGCGAAATACCAAGAGCTTCGGAAAAACTTCTCTGAGAAATCGAAATTTATCGTTAAAATCTGCGGTTTGCGCAGATTGGTGGAAAATTGAATTCTGGATCGAGCTATTAAATCCGAAGAATTTTTTAGTTGACGGAAGTGGCTAAATTTTCCGATAACTCTCGAAAAATGTTTTGCGAAAAACCTTGAAAAATTCGAAGTTTTTGGCCTTTTTCTCCTTTTCTATGCACTACGGAATCTTCATTTGTACGTATTCAGATGCAGAATGAAATTCTGCGGTGAATGGCGTATAATTCAATGGGTTTTAAAAGAAAAATTTTCAGATTTTTCTGAGGTGTGCTGACCGTTTTTGGCAAGAAGCCCCCGAGTGTTTTCCGTCATTTACCCAAAAATTCGACGACGGTTCATGGTAGTAATCTGGATCTACTTCACGAAAACCGTAGAGAGCCCTTCAAACGGACCATCTTCGGTTGGAAAAACCTCTTTGCAACTGAACGTTTAACTCAAACAACTTGAAATTTGTATCATAAATAGTACGCATACCAAGACAGCTCTGTTCTATAAATTTAAGCTCACTAGCATTTGATTTGACAGAATTATAGCCTAAGCAAAACTTTCGACTGGAAAATCGCTTTTTTTCCGGATTTTACGACCTTTTTTGCAAGCGCTCTAGCGTCGAGGAAAAGCACTTTGGAAAAAACAGCAAGAGACAAAAATGTTCCGGACACATTTCTCTATCTGCTCTGAAAATTTGAGAAAAAGATCTTTTCTCTTTTTCCGCCAATAGTGTCTGTTTTCGAAAAACAGAATCATTTTACTATTTTTGTAGTAGAATAGAAATGAGACAAAATTAAACGCTAGTCATACTTGCATACAAACTGTGGAAGATACACTACACAATGGTGGATATTTGAAGTTTCTAACTTGTTCGGTGTTGCAATGGCAGAGCAACCGAAGTAATAGGATAGGACTGAACCGATAATTTTCTACCCACTGTATCTGACTCTTGTTTGTTTATGATCCGAAATATTTGGAGACTATCTGATAGTAATTTGTCAAAAACAATGAGTAAAAGTAATACGAGACAGTTGTACTCAAATGTTTATCAATTTTTATGCTGTCAGCCGTTGTTCCTTCTTCAATCCTTTGTTTTATAGAATTTGGTAGTGCTTTCGCTGTTAGCTCCTCATTATGATCAAGTAAGTCAACTATATGTTGTTCTCATAGGTCATATCATTTCTTTTCTAAAAAAGAACGTAGAGAAGGAAGACTTCCTTCTGTACTTGATCGAGGAGGTACGTCAGTTCTTTGTGTATTATGTGAAGCTGTATATAGGAGAAACGAAGTTTTTATTGCGGAAACAAGTTTTACAAGACTAGTTTCTTTTAAGTGAATCCATCAATCAGATCGTCATCAGTAAGTTCAGTCCGAACTACTTCATATCCATACTGTGGTGCATGTAGCTGCAACTGATCATTATAACGAGTAATCTTGTTTTTAAGTTCTTCTTTAGTTTGTAGTTGTCCGGTTGGTTTCGTTCTGTGTATTATTTCATCTGTCTACACTCTTTCCACTTTCGGATGGTGGTTTGCTGGTGTAAAATATCACAATAATAACAATGATAAAATTCCTGTTATATTTGAAATTAATATTGACCAAATATCAAACAAAGCATATTTTACCAATATTAAAGAATACAGTTCAAAAAAAGATGAAGATGAAATATTATTTTCAATTGATACAATATTTCAAATTTTATCGATTGAAGATTATGGAAACTGTTGTTTTATTGTATTGAAGTTAACAACATACGACGATACAAATCCTGAATGGAAAAAATTGTATGATCATCTTGAAAGACAAATAAACAAAAATGTGCCATTATTCACTATGGCTAGATTTTTCTATGCATCATGCGATTTTGACAAAGCTGAGCAATATTACCAACTATTATTAGACGACGATCCAAATAATAAATACTTAATATCGGTCATATACGGTAATATTGATACAGTAGTAAAAAGAAGTACAAAATAGCATTTGAATATTTTAAACGAGCGTTAATTGCCTACAGTGAATTGGTCGAACATAAACGAATATTATTAGGACGAATTTATATGAATATGGGCACAACATATGAAAATATGAAATAATACGCAAATGCGTTAAAATTTCAGAAGAAAGCAATTTAATTATTCAAAGGATGTAATCGAATATATTACCATCATCTTGCAATGTTCTGTTGTAATATCGGTTCAACATATGCTCGTTTAGGTAAATGTTAGATGTTTTAATGCTTCTTCGCAGCAATGCTGCCCTTTCTTATCATTTATGTGAAAATCTGTACTTAAAAGAGAACTTCTTTAGGTGCCCATCTCCATTTTTTCAGTGATATTATGACTGTTGATAGAGAATTTTGTTTTAAGAAAATGTCTGAAAGAACTTCGTTTTCTGTCGCTTATTCAAAAGTTATGAGTTTATTTTGTTTGATCATAGACAGTATTACAATAACACTGAAGTTTTTGTATCTCTATAAAAACGGCGAGAGGAGAGCTGAAATTTTTATTCACAACTTTCTCGCTTCTCGAAAATCAACAACTCTTATCTCGTTGTTTTTATAGAGATACAAAAACTGAAGTGTTATAGTTTCACTGTCAATGGCGTAGCTAAGGGGTGCCCATTGGGCCATAGCCTAGTGTGATTTGAACCCTGGCCCAATATGACTTCAGGTTTTGTGATTTCTCCAGCTGAAACTTTTGAAAATGCTTCTTGCCCCAGTCTCTTCTTAGATCATCATGCTGTGACTCACATCCTTTTCTACAGACTAGTGGAGTTGGCCCAATGGTAAAAAACCCTAGTTACGGCGCTGAACACTGTCTATGATCAAACCAAATAAACTCATAACTTTTGAATAAGGGACAGAGAATGACTTTCTTTCAGACATTTTCTTTCAACAATATTCTCTATCAGCAGTCATAATATCCTTAAAAACAGAGACAAGTACCTAAAGAACTTCTCTTATTAGAAGAACCGACTAAGCTTTTGTCATACATACATTAAAAAATGTGGACAGACGTGATGTCCTTTAATTCAACCTCAGATAACAACAATTTACAATTTTTTCAATCAGAATGCTGTGACTTGATGGCGAGAGTCATCTAGAGAATTTCCGGTTTTAATATGAACTTATTAGATTTCCTACCCCATCGCCAAACACTGTGAAGGCATTAGAATTGTTAATTGAAAGATATGGTTTCTTTGTTACAATCGAAGATTTTTGTGTTTGAAAGTCAAGATTTCAACCATTTTCTCATTTTTTATAAGTTATATTCTGAGAACGGAAGAATGGTTATTGGAAAGAAAAACTAGGATGAAACAAAAGCCTTTGATAACAATACCAGCTCAGTTACATCGTTTTTGAGAGAGCCAGCTGGGTTAAGGAGTAGAGTGTACACGAAAAACTCAACAGATAAAATTTTGGAGGGAAAGGCAATACCAATGTTTAATATCTTCTATATGGTAAAAAGCTCGTGTCATCACCTATATGTTGATCTTTTAGGAGATCATCGGCTCGCTCTAAGTTATGTCAAAGAAGCCAGAAATCTTCTAAACATATCGCATTTACCTAGTACTCATCCGTCCTATGCAACTTACTACAATAATAAAGCAGTGAGCCAAGCTGGATTAGGGGAAAACTCGAAAGCATTAAAAAGCTTTATCAGAGCGTACGAGATCCAAAAATATTCGGTAACAAAAAATCATTTGGATTTTGTTTCTCTGTTGACTAATATTGGTTCTCAGTATTTTAAATTAAACAAAAATCATTTAGCATCAAATTATTTTCAATCGGCAATCGATATTCAACAACTGTATTTATCAATTGACGATAATGAATTTATATCACTTTATTATATTATGGGTGAAATATTATTGAAACAAGGTAAACTTACTGATTCACTCAAATATTATAAACAAGCACTAAATTGTCATTTGAAAATATTACCATTAACAGTTGTTTACGAACATCGTTCAATCAGTTTAAATGACGCCAAATTTAAATATAGCTATTTTACATATTTTCTACAAAAATTTCATCCATATATTAAAATTACTTGTATACCGGACGAATCAAAACAAATAGCTCTCTATTACAATCGTATCGGCCTTCTATATTATTTTCTGAAACAGTATGATGATTCATTAATCAACCAAGAACATGCCTGGACAATATGTATGAAATCGTTGCCGTGGGATTACCGTCTCCTAGCAGCTGCATGTAGTAACATGGGCTCTATTTTTTATGATATAAAACGATTTGATAAAGCAATTGGTTACTTTAAAAAAGATTTTTATTGCATCATTATATTCATCAGAAAATAGTCAAGATCTTTTGGGTTTTAAAACAAGTTTAAGAGTGAAAAGTTTTAAAAGTGAACTTAAATAGCTCTCCAAAATAATATATTGAAGACTCTTCAAACACCAATGAAGTTTTGAAAAACTAATTAAATATCAAATAATATCCGTGTATTCACAGTATCAATCTGTAAGAATGAAAGTGCGTTTTCTGTATACAACCCCAGTCTGGATGTTTGACATTAAGATCGCCGACAATAAAGACGTTCTTGGACATCCGTACTAGCGACGATATACAAGTGATTGGCAGTTGTTCTATGGGAGGAGAATAGACCGTAGCTATGACGTATGTTTTGTTGTGAATTTATGGGTTAATTGTGCCGCTGCTATTTTCGGTTCGCTTATCCCTACAGAGACTGCCTTCAGTTTTTTGTCAATAGCAAGAACTGCGCCGCCATGCGAATTCGTACCTTCTTTATTGAAAATGTCATAAGAAAATTAAAAGTTTTTTAATTTCATTTACAGGGATGCTTGTGCCCAGTTTATTCAGAGAAATAACAGATAAAGAAAACTCACTGACCATGTTAAGAAGATCACATTGGTTAGAGTAGAAATACGCTTTGGCCAGCCATCTCTGCTACCGGAGTGAAACAATTTTTTTGCATTTTGTTTTTCTTATAATGTTTGAGCAACGAGACGCCTAGAGATCTAGAATATTACAGATTAAAGAGAAAAGTGTGCTAAAGATTCTGAGATGTTCCTACAGTCTACACATTCTTTCATTCAGAAACTATGAGAAAAATACAAACACCTTTAGGTGTGCAAGAAACATAAAACTTTTGGTGACAAGAAACTAGTAGTTACATCAATAATTTCCAGAATTTCTTATAATCATAGAGATGTGAAAAATTATTTTCTCAGTAATGATAAGTTTGTTCATGGAAAACACTTCAGGGTATATACAGCTTGATACGCTCTACAAAGTTATGGAAAAAAAGGAGGTGGTTCCTCCCCCCTTAAAGCGGAAGAAA